CCGCTCCTCTGATGGGTCCCGCTGCGCCCGCGGGCGCTGACGGCCGATGCTGCGATGATTATCGGTTCCAGAGGCTCCCGATCGGCCCGTTGGCAAACCCGCCCCTTGCTCGCTTTCCGCCTGCACAAGGGAAGCTTGAGAAGAAGAAAAGGGGTGGAGACGTGGAGTAGGTGTGTTGAAGGAGCAGAAGATGGTGTATAAATAACGCACGTAGACAGGTGGGCTGGCGTGGGGATGTGGTAGGTGCCTGGAGAGGAAAGGGGAACGCCTTCCCGGTGTTAACCCTCGCTGGTGTCCCAGCGGTGGGGCTGGTGGCTGAGGCATCTCCCTGCCTGCCGCTGCGGATGCGCATCCCGTGTGGTGTTTGGGGAGTGTGGTTGCGCCCTCTGGACGGAGCCGTTGGTCCAGGAGGCTTTGCTGAATGTCTCCTGTTCCAGAGTGAATGGGAGAAGTGACTGTCCTTTGGAAAGAGCTGGTTGTTGCACAGATAGCACAGTCCTGCAGGGAAGAAGGTGCATTTACAGAGGCTGCGGGCTGTTGGACCGTGGTCTGACCAGGTTTTGCTAAGAGATTCCTGGGAATTACAGGCAAAGCAGTTAGGATGAAATTCCAGTAAAACTGCACTCGATGGCTTCAGAAGCTGTGGTGCTGGAGATAAGTTTCCCCACAGTGCTCTCTGAGGTGTCCTGTCGAGGGACAAAGATGTTCCTGGGTGCCCTGTGTGAGTCTTTTTAGGGAAGTCTAAACCATGGGATGGTTGTTCCTGCTGCCTCTTGAGATTTTCCCCATGGTGGAAAGAGGAAAACTTCTGGGCAGGGGTGGTGAAGCTGGGGGAGAAAGTCAATCAGTGTTAGCTACTGTTATACAGCAGTGCCCTGTGCAAGTTTTAGGGCTGAAAATGTGACTCTTCCACAAATTTAAATGATAAACCTTAACAAACTGTCCTCAGCACCGATGGGGGAGGAGTTTCTGGGTGTATGTGGAGTCACAGAGTTTTTCCAATCCCTTATTTTTTTTTTTTCCTGTAGTTGCTAAGGAGTTAGTCAAATGTTGAGCATGAAGAGGTGCTGTCTGGAGGTTGAATTGTCCTTTGTCCCTGCAGGGGACTGGTGCTGGGTGCTCTTCACTGAGGAGCAGCTCAGAATGAGTTTGCTTTGGCTAAAAATTGAGCAGGAGGATATAAATCTATTCCCTTCTTAAGTTTTAACTTCTGAAATAGCCAATATGCTCAATAAGAATGCATTTTTCTAGGAACAGATCTGCATTTAGCAGTTGCCCTGCAGTATTTTCTGCCTGATTTGCATAGCATAATAACAGCAAATATTCTTTGTCTTGTGTGCAGGGTGGAGTTGAGGCTCTCAGCTCCTTTTTGTGCTCCTCATGCAGGTGGAAGATAGTCCAGCAGCAGTGATGTCAGCAGGGTTCATAGTGCTTAACACTTTAAATCATTTTGTGGAGGAAAGACCAAGGAATTCTTCAGAGAATCCTTGCTGTCTGTCATGGCATTGTTGGAGGCAAATATTGGAAAAAAAGGAACTGTTTTGCTGTTCTCAACATACAAATTTTTGCATCCTCCTCAGACTGATGCTTTGTAAGACAGGCTGCAGTTAAGGATTATCTCAAGATTTGGCTCACGAGCACTGACTTAGCAGTAAGTTCTTGAAGGGGGTCTGTGCATGAGTTGCTCTCCCACCTTTTATTCCCCCTCCTGCTTCCAGACTTTTCCACATGATGCAATGTGGTCAGAGATTTAGGACCTGAGACACTCAATCATCTCTGGTTTGCCACTTTCCTGAGGAAGGAGGAAAACTTTCCCTATTAAATCCAACAGTTCTTTGGTGATAGGAACAATGTCAAACATTAGGAAGCTTTAACAGAAGGAGAGGAAGAGGCCTGGGATAACCAGCCCTGACTGGGAGAGGTGGGGGTCGTTGATGGGAGATGCTCAGAGTTGGTGGGGGGTGATGGAGATAATCCCAGGAGCACTTGGAGCTGGAGACCAAACATTTTGGGGTATGAAAACCCACTTTGGGTGCTGTGAAGTGAAGTCAGCCTGTTAGAAGCTCGCCTGTTGTTGCCAAACACTCTTCTGTGTGTTCTTTCCTCAGTGTTCAGCCACCTGTAGAAGATCCTGACGAGGCTCAACCAAAAAACCAAAAATCAGGTATTGCATGGGACAGAAGTATTTAATATGCTTCATTTTTCTTGGGTGCCTTAATTCTGGGTTTTTTTACTTCAGCATTGTTACTGAAACTGTGGCTTTTCAAGCCATTTTTTTCCTCGTGGCCCTCTGTGTAGCCAGTGGCTTGTGGGCATATCCTGGGGCCTAGCCCCAAAGTTGTGTGCTGCCTTCTCTCTGTGTTCACACTCTTCCTCTGCCAGGTCAAAATGCTCCCTATGAGAAGTCACTTGGGACCTGGGATGTGAAGGAAGGTCACTTCTAGCTGATGCCAGGCAGAGAAAAATGGTATTTCTAGTGGCTTGAACTGAAATCAGAAGAGTCAGTTTAGCCTGAATCTGAAAATTTTGGCACGTGCATTTTGCAGAGCTAGAGGAGGGATGAGTGAGGGAGGCTGGGGGTGCAGCAGAGGAGAGAACAGTGTGGCAGAGAAGGGCTGTGGTGGGTGAGTCTCTCTCTGATCCCTACTCTCTGTTCATCCATGGCTTTTTTTTTTTTCCTTTTTATTTCCAGATGCTGTCGCCTCTGAGCGTAAAGAGAAAGTTCCAGAAGTTTCCCCTGTGGTGAAGTTGCCAACCAAGGCAAAAAGGAAACGCCATGCTTCTTGGATCTCAGAGACTGCACATGAGGTTAGCAAGGCTCCAGAGAGGAGGGGGAAGCTGTGCAGGGGGATCTCCCTCCTGCACCTTGGAGCTGGGGCTGCTCTGAGCCCACACAGCAGCTCTTGAGTGCTGCGTCTGCCTGGCTCCAGTGTGTGTTCTCTGCTCTAGTGTTTGCAGCTGAGGAAGGAGTGAGGTGGTTGTTGTCTTCCAGATAAGCTACAGTTCTTCAAGTTTATGGCTGTAGTGTGTGTGCAAACTGTTACTCTTTTTCTCTGGGTTGTAGTTAAGGAGCCAAAGTGCATTACCTTACAAGAAAAACTGCATGCTTCCTCTGCATCCAACTTCCTGCTGTTTATAATCTGCCCAGGAGAGGGTTCCTGCAGGATTTTGGCTCTGTAAAAATGAGTTAGGAACTGCTAAACTGCCTAGTCTGCTTCAAAAGTGTGGTGGTATTTTTCTTAGAGCCCCACAGAGTAAGAGGAATAAGAAAATGTCATGCTCTAATTAATTGTTCCTGATAGTCATGAACTCTTATTTGTACAAAATGTATTTTTCAGGGGCTAAACTATCACACTGTGGCTTTTTTAGGAGCTTACTGAGAACTCAGTAATGAGCCTGTATCATTTTAATCACTGTATGTACCAGAGCCTGTTAGACATCCTGCAAAGATTTGCATTCTGCTGCAGGTCATGGTCCCCAAATCATAACAGAGCTGGCCAAATTTCAGGAAGTTCATTTGCTTGGATTCACGTTCAGGTGATACTCACATTGGTATTTATTTTGGTTTTATTTAAGACTGAGTCCACTCCTCCTGGTCCTGCACCCAAAAGACCAGCACGTCCTGCAGCAGAAGTAGAAATGCTACAGATTGGTAAGGCTGACATCAAGTTATTGATTTTTTTCTTTTTAATCCTGCTTTGTGTATGAATTATTGCAGGCAGAATATCTGGGGAGCATCTGAGAACACTTGAGTGTGAGCTCTGTTTCTTCCCTGCATCCTGGCATTGCTCCTGGGTTGGGACTGGGTGTTTATTTTATCATCTCAGTGCAAACTCTGCCTTGTTTGGATGCAGTCCTTCAGTTTTGATATGTCTGCTGTGAACTTGCCAGGAGTGAATTGTTTTAAACACTAATTTTAGTGAGTAGATCCTGATGATGCTTTTTTTATTTCAGGATTAAGCTGACAGTGCCTTGTGTGCACAACTTTTATTAGTTGCCAATATGAAAATCTGAAAATATCCTACAGTAACATAATAGAAGTCATAGGATGTAAGAGAGAAAATTGAAATAATTTCTTTTTGGTGAAGCTCTTTACTGTAAACCTAAAACTCTTCAGCTTCCTTTTGTAGTTACTGATGGCTTGTGCTCTTCTCTCACAGATAAAATGCCTTGTGGAACCAACACTTGCTTGAATAAAGAAACACTATCCCTTTCTTATAAGACAAGGTAAAAATCCTTCTCTTTTCTTTGGCTTTTTCTCTGACTGGTTTCCTGTATTTCACTTTTATTCTTCAACTTCCTCTGTGTGGCCTAACATTTGTCTTTGTCTTTAGAGAGGAATATTTTTCTCAAGGCTGCTATGCTAAGGGAGGTGTCCAGCTGATTATTTTTTTTCTCCAACCAGCTTCAAACTTCTTTAGACTCAGATACTTCATACAGGAGATGAGATAAAGTCTGTGGTAGGAGGATGTGTTGAACTTGAGAAGCAGCTGATACCAGGAATGTTTGTGAAAAGTTTCTGAAGAGTTAATTTGACAGGAAAAATTATTTTAAAATATAAAAAAGAAAAAAGCCAACAAACTTTTCTCAAAAAAAAAAAAACCCTCCATGATGTTTGGCATGAGAGAGTTCTTAATTTGATAACAGGACTAGCCTTTACCTTGTGTTGGTTTTGAATTACTGTTTGGGGGATGCTGAGGCCCTGATGTACACATCACTGAGTCAGAAACAGCTGGAAGGAGGAGGGGATCAGAAGGGGATCTGAAGGGAGGGAATGAGGAGGAGTGAGCCAGACTTTTTTCAGTAGAGCCCACTGACAGGTCAAGAGGCAGTGGGTGTAAATTGAAAACCAGAAAACTGCATCTGAACATCATGAAACACTTTATTTTTCACTTTGAGGATGGTCAGATACTGGCACAGGTCACTTAGAGAGGTTGTGGAAGGTCCTTGGAGATGTTTGAAAGCCCAGCTGGACACAGGCTTGGGCAACCTTCAGTGGTGACCCTGCTTGAGCAGGTATTTGGAGCAGCTGATCTCCAGAGGTCTCTGCCAGAGTGATTTTTGTGAGGAAAGCAGCAGCTACACTTTGGTGCCAGTGCTTTTTATTGAAAGCAGTTGTTCTGATTTTCACTTCTCTGTAGTGGTAGTATCCCATTAGTCAGTTGAAGACAGTAAATCTTACCTGAAACTCATAAATATCTCATCTCTGTCTCCCTCATCATCAGTGTATGTGCTTACAAAATAGTTGGTTGATTAAGGAGGTGCATATCTGAGTGTTCTCTTGATATGGTTCCTTTTTCTGTTGATGACTTTAGCACAAGGAGTGGCACCATCAAACCTGTTCCAGACAGCATCTTAACACTGAGGCCACCCATTAAGGAGCACACTGGGCCAGGATCCACCAATTTGGAAGCTGGCAGAATTGGGAGGCTCTTCTGTACTGCTGAGGAGGTACGTTGGGTGGGGGGGAAGGTGATTTTTGAAATGAAACAACTTAAGGGTTGCAACAAAGCTGTGTCTGAATGCTGAAGTGGCAGTTTGTAACAGCACAGTGGTGTAGTCAGTGAAGTTGAAGGAATGCTTCTGGAAAGTCAGCTTATAGCCTTTTATTTGCCTTTGCATTTATGAAAGGGCCAGGATCCACCAATTTGGAAGCTGGCAGAATTGGGAGGCTCTTCTGTACTGCTGAGGAGGTACGTTGGGTGGGGGGGAAGGTGATTTTTGAAATGAAACAACTTAAGGGTTGCAACAAAGCTGTGTCTGAATGCTGAAGTGGCAGTTTGTAACAGCACAGTGGTGGTGTAGTCAGTGAAGTTGAAGGAATGCTTCTGGAAAGTCAGCTCATAGCATTTTATTTGCCTTTATGAAATCTTTGAACAGAGCAGTGCTTTGTTGCCAAAAGATGGGATTTTAAACCATTTTCATGGGAATGGTGGACTGGGGAAGGAGCCTCCAGGCAGTTTCACTTCTAAGTGGAGCTGGACTGCCCTGTCACTGAGTGTGTTTTTCTGGCAGAGTCATTTCCCTATTTTGGCCTTCATCTAGCTCAACTGTGGTCTTTACATAATGACTTTAAAAGGCTAAAGCAGGCAAAAAACCACTCAGTTGGTGGTAGCACTGCTTACAGCACTGTCTGTAAGGTCTTTCCCTGTCCTTTTTCTGAAGCAACTCTTGGAAAATTCCTGATAAACCTAGTTTAGATGGGAGAAGACCTTACTGGGAGTAGGGCTGAGCCACCCTGGGGACTCCTAGCACCCAAGCATCCTGTCTACTGCCAGGAATGCATCATAATCTGATTTCTGATGCAAGGGGTGCAGACCATGGCTGAAGTGAAGAGTCCTGCCTTTGAGGAAACAGTTGCAGAAGGCAGTTTGAGGTTTAGGGTGGGACATAAGTTCCTGTAGCAGGGCTAACACCAAATGAATGCCTGTGAATTCCTGCTAAGGAAACTTGAGTAATACACCAGTATTTTTGAGAAGAGCCTGTGCACTCTGTCTACAGACATTTGGCTCATACACACTGGTCCTAATCTGGTTTTTTTTCCCCTCTCCATTCTAGTATCTTCAGCGAGGAGAGAAGGAGAAGTACAGACAGCTCCTGCAGCTGCTAAAGGAGAAGTACCCTGGGAGCCGCCCTCAGCCCCAGCTCGCCAGGTTCCGCACGTAATTATCAGCAAAATGACCATGAGCTTTCTGGGGGTAATTTGTAGCTGGTGTATTTGGAAGCTGATGGGGAGGGATTCCTCTTTCCTACTCTCAGAGTGCTGGACAATCTTCAGGGCAGGCATGGGCAGAGTAATTTCTAGTATAAAAAATCCACAGCATTATTCCGGAGCACCACTAAAAAGAATTTATTTTCCTTTTGTTTGCCATTGAGTTTTGGCTTGGTCAGGAATCCTGTTTTATCTGAGAATATGAAACTTCTGGTAAATACAAGACTTTTCTGGTTTTTTCCACCTCCCCCAGTCCTCCTCACACAACTGAAATGAAGTTTTTCTCTTTGCAGTACACTAAGCTGACAAAAATCTCCCTTGTGTCTAGAATTCCAGTTCCCAAAGCAACCTGCAAAGGGGAATTTCTGTGTGATTTTGTGTATGATGAGTAGATGATGTGGTGTGTCAAGGGGGTGTATGAAGTTAAAGCCACAAAAATAAGTGAAGCCATTATCTTGGAATAATTACACTTCAGAGTTGTGCAGAAGGAGCCTGATTCTTGATAAATAGTGATGCCAAGAAGATGCTGAAGTTTCAGTGGGACTTTCTACACAGTAAGAGAGGAGAAAATGCCATGCTGTCTTGCAGCTTCCATTAAATCCTGTAAAACAGGGGTTGTTACCAAGGCTCAGAAAATTCCCAGTCTCTGCTTGGTGGTTCACCACCAGCAAACATGTAAACTCATGAATTTGGAACAGCATGGCATGTTTAAATGTTCTGGTCCATGGCAGTGCCATGGAAAACAGTCTCTCCTGTCATTTTACATGCACTGGCAGTAGCATTTTGGAGTGGATCAAGACTCTGCTTTTGGCATCTGATCTCCCAGGGAATTATTATTGTGGTTTGGCTCATGTAGGTCTGTCTCCTTCCTGAAAAAGGGGGTTTTTGGTGACAATGCCAATGCTTCTTTGTGAAGAAAGGGTGTATATATGGACAGCTTTAATGCCTGTGTGTTTGCTTGCTCTTGAGAGTCTGTGTGGCTTTAATGATGGTCCTCTCCAAATGGGGGATAGTAACTCTCTACCACTGAGGTGATGTCATGTGTGCACCTGAGGGTCTAGTCAGAATCAGCCTTGAAAAAGCTTTTTATCCAGAAGGTGAGTTCTTGAGCATCACCTGGGACAATGCTGAGACATAGCACACCTCTCTCTTTCTCCCCCTCTCCTTTCAGGTACTGCACAGCAGTGGAAAACTCCTATGAACAGGGAAGAGCAGTGAAACAAGCTGTTGGAGGTGTAAGCATGTGTTCTTTATCTCACCTTTGGGGAAAATACAGCTGGTTGTGAGCAGATAGCTTTGCACTTTCACTTCCATATATTGCCAAGCAAGTAAGGTGTTTGTCCTTGGATGTGTGTACAAAAATCCTTCCAGTTTTCTACCAGAGCAAGAGTTTTTTTTTGCACTATTCCCTAGCAAACAGCTCTGTGCTTGCTTGCTAGCTCCATGTCCTTTTGTCTGACAGAGACAGAATGGAGAGGAGCTCTCAGAGGAGGTGTTACCCCGGGTAGGAGTGGCACCCACTGTGTACAGACTACCAGCTGACCTTGCTGTGGAAGAACAGAGGTTCCCAAGCTCAGACAGACCAGCAGAACGCTTCCCTCCACTCACAGAGGTACCGTGTCATTCCTGCAGTTGCCTTGGCTCTGCCTCTTAACCTGTCCTGCCGTGGTGACAGAACCTGCCAGAGAAGCTTTTGCTGCCCCACGCTGTAGGAACACTGGCTGCTTTGCTTCTTTGGGGGCTGCAGCCCTGCTGAGCTAACAGCACTTCCTTTTTTGCCCATTGACTTGGAAAGGGCCAGCAAATCCAGAGCTGTTGCTAATGGAGCAAAACCCTGGCAAAGCCAGCTGCTGTGTCACCTGAGCTCAGTTTACAGGCCTTGTTCAAAGCTGCCCACAGGTTCTCATGCTCTATACTCCTGTTTCACAAGTCCTTCCCCATTTAATTGTTCATTTCAGGCCATGGAGAGAGAGATCAGTGCTGCATTTGGCAAAGGTGAGCCAGATGAGATCATGAGCAGTGCCTTCAAACTAAAGGTCACACGTGAGGACATCCAGACCCTGGACAACCTTCGCTGGCTAAACGATGAGGTAAAACTAGCTGCAGCACAGTGATAACTCTCACTCAGCTTTGATTAAAAATACCCCTTCACTGTCTACAGAAGTCTTTTCAAAGTTATTGGATAGCCTCTGCTGCGGAGTCCAGGAATATCTGTACAGTTATTTTAGGTCCTTTAGGCTTTAGTGTTTTCTTGAAGTTCCTTTGTTTCTTGTGTTATGCAGCTTCCAGGAGTTAGTCTGGGTTCTAGGTGTGGGTGGCAGGTGTTTTTATCACACTGCAAGAAGCAAGCAAGTGCAAAATTCTCAGAGCAAAAGCTGAAAGCTGAGACTGGCATTCTCTCAGCTGTGTGCTCATTGGTGGCCAGCAGAAGACACATTGCTCTGTTTATCCATTGGTCAGCTAGTGTCTTATTTTACCTCTCAAGTTTACTCTTTATGGTACAGGTCATTAATTTCTACATGATTCTGCTGGTGGAAAGAAGCAAGAAGGAAGGATATCCAGCAGTCCATGCTTTTAGTACTTTCTTTTATCCCAAATTAACTTCTGGGGGCCATGCAGCAGTAAGAAGATGGACCAAAGGTGTGGATCTCTTCAAACAGGACCTCGTCTTAGTACCTGTTCACTTGAGATCTCATTGGACACTAGCAGTGAGTAAAAATTAGCTATTTTTTAGAATGGCTTGGGTAGAAAAAACTACCCAGAAAAGTAATTTGGTTTTGTGGTGTGCTTTGTCTAACAGTCACCTTTTAATAACAGGTCATAGATATGAGAAAGAAAGCCATCAAATACTACGACTCACTGGGACAAAAAAGGGACAAGATTTGTGAAACTCTCTTGTAAGTAACTGCTCATTTGATACTTTCATGTTGTGAATGAGGAGGTTTTTTGGAGAAGGTCTGCCTCAAACAATTTTTTTTCCTCAAAAGCATTATTCCAGCAGCTGGTGGCCTGGGAAGTTCCTCGCCAGAGGCACTAGCCCAAAAGCTTTTGTGTTTGTTCCTCTGGAGCTGCACCCAGTCTGCTGGATTAAGGCACATGGTGGAATTGTGGCATTCTGGTTCCTTGCTTGGTTTGTCTGTTCCTCCTCGGATAACATGTGATTTGGGTTTTTTTGACCTCTGCTCAGCAATGAGCTTAGGCTTTGGTAGATGTCTGTTGGGATTGTTTGTCTCCTTCCTGGCCAGCTGGTCTCAGTCCTGACCAGTAGCTCGCAGCCTCTCAGTGTATTTCTAAACTGGAAGATTTGGATTTTTTCCCTTCAAATGCTTTAAATCAGCTGTTGTGAGGATTCTCAGACATTTTACTGTCCTGCCATTCACCTTCCTCTTCTCCTGCAGCAGCTCTTTCTTTGTTGGCCTAAATTCCAGAGGTGAAGAGTGATTTTGTTTTGTTTTAAACAGCAAATACCTGCAAGAAGAAAGCCGGGAGAAGAGAAAAATGGAGCTGGTTTTTTCTGAGTGGACTTTTCACAGCATGGAGCCACACGTATGTGAGCACTCCTTGGATTTGGAATGGGAACTGGGACTCTTGGTCACAAAACTCTTAATGCTTTCTAAAAAGTCCAAACCTGTAGAGAATGGCCAGAAGCATCTCATGGTCTTAAGGTGCCACTTCAGGTGGTCCAGGAGACTATGCTGGGTTGAAATCTTTAAGCAGTGCTTCTGCTTGCTGACTTTGAAGGGACTGAAGACTTTGTGGGGTCTAATTAGTCTGGCACATGGAGGTGGATCTGGCTCTGCCCCCATTTCACAAATCAAATATCAGTTTAGCTGCTGTCAGAGAACGTTGGCTTCTTGTGTGGAGCACAGATCCTGGCACGTGCAAGGCAAAGGGTTGAGCCCATGTTTCTCAACAGGCTCATAGTAAGAAGCACCATATCAAAGTCTTGATGTAAGACACACCACACTGTGCCAACCTCAGGGCACCTGGCAGGGTGACACCAGGCTGCTGTCCCAGTGTTTGCCTTGCAGCCTCCAAGTCAGGGCAGCAGAGGGGAGGGCTGCTGTGCGTGCAGCTCGTGGGCTCTGTCCCTCCTGCCTGGGAGCAGTAAATGGTTCCCTGGTGTCTGCTGTGTTGCTTTGGGTAACGTGTGCTGCTTCCAAAGTGGTTTTCCTTTAGGAGAGAGGAGAATTCTCTGCTTGTCCTTGCGTTTCATTGCCAGTTTTGCACTCCTCAGGAGATCCCCCAGCAGCTGAACGGGAGCGACTGCGGGGTGTTTGTGTGCGCGTACGCCGACTACGTGGCCAGAGACAGAGCAATGACCTTCACACAGGTGAGAGGGCTCTCCACAGAGAAAAGGGCTGAGGAGGGCACCTCCCAGCCAGGGGCCAAGGCTTTGTACCTCCCTCTGGGTTTGGGGAAGGATTGTTGGGGTTTGAACTGCCACGTGGCTTCAGTGGAAGAGCTGCCTTCTCCGTCCTTATGTCTTGGATCTGCTTCCTGGTTGAATTGGTGATAGTGCAGCCAGTGGGTTTGTGAAATCTGGCCTTGGTGTCTTCTGGAGGAGTGGGTTTCACCCTTACACCTGCTAAGACAGGGTTATTTCCCACCAGTGTGGTGGTCTTTTATTGAAGAGTATGTAACCTGTTGTGTAGTGAGGGCCACTCTGGTTTTGTTGGGTTGTCCTGTCACCCTCTTAGGGGCTGTGTGGCTGCAAACCAAGTTGTACCCCAATGGCAAGTGCTGACAGTACTCACAAGGAACTTTGCTTTAAAGGATTCACAGGGTGTTTATGTATCTTCTCTGCCTCTTTCTGCCATGTCTTCATATTGAACAGATTTTGCTCCTCTTTTCAGGATCACATGCCTTACTTCCGCAAGAAGATGGTGTGGGAAATAATCCATCAGCAGCTGCTGTGAGAGATGCACTACCAAAATAACACTGTGATCACCTCTGGGTGACTTAACTCTTTATTTCAGATATTTTCTAGTACCTTACTTGAAAAGGCAACAGGCACACAAATTCCTTCTTTAGGCTATGAAGTAGTGTTTAAGTTTGGGGTTTGTTTTTTTTTTGTTTTTTCCCAATTTTGGAGACAGCAACTTTCTTTGCAAATAGCTAATGCACCTTAAGGGGAGAGGCAGGAGGATTGCTGTGACCTCACCCAGGGAAACGGTTAAGAACAAAGGCTGTGAACCTCTGTCACTGATGGGTGCTCAGGTGCACGTGGCCACGCTGTGGACAAAGGGGACTCTCACCTCTGGGGTGGTGGCAGCTCTCTGAGCTGAACTCCCCTTCCCGAGCTCAACTCCCCTGCCCAAGGACAAGGGACTTGCCCACCGGTTCCTCAAGGAGAGTTTTCTTCTTCCTGGAGTATCTGCAACCTACTTGATTCCTAAAACTGGATTTGTGATGACCATGGAAAGCAAGACTGACAGTCTGGTGGTTTGTAACGAATCCCGAGCGAAGCCCCTGTGCTCGGGGGTGGTTTCTTATTTGCTGGGGTTATTTTTTTCTGTCTCCAGGGAGTTATCTAATGTGAAAAGAGAAGTATTTATTTCTTTTTATTAAAATAAATATGTAACTTATATAAAGAGACTTTCTGGAATAAAACTTTACCTGGTAATGAAATAGTGGTGTGTTTTTTCTAATTGCCAGAAGTGTGAGTTTTAGCTGACTTGCAGTCTGGAAGAAGGCTCCAGGCAGGGTGAGTGTCAGAGCACAAAACCCTCAAGGGGCCATCAGGACCTTGCTCAGCACCCTCCTTGCAAGAGTGAAGTAGGAGATTTCTCTTTGGGGTGACTCCTGAGGCTCCTCAGCCAGGCAAACAAAGCCTGTGTGAGCAGCTTGGTGAGCATGGGCTGCCCAGCACTGGGCTGTTTCAAGCTGACAGGGGCATCTCCAGGCAGTGTGCTGCTGTGGCAGTGGGAGAAACTGTGCTGGGCTGTGGAGACGTGTCCTGCCAGGCTCAGGGGTGCTGCTGGAATGTGCTAAAGCCTTATTGCCCCTCTGCCACAGATACTGCCCCACACAGGGGCAAATCAAAGGGGGGAGCTTGCGTCAGTTCTCACTGTTATGGTTACATCAAGCTAGATTAGTTTAAATGGTGTTTTCCCCTTTTTTTGTTTTCCCCCTTTTTTTTTTCCCCCTTTTTTTGGTTCTACTCCAGAACTGGAGTAGGATTTCAGGTCTCCCATTTACCCTTGCAGAGGAAACCTTGCCCCAGAGCAATGGCTTTGGAGGTAAGGGGTTTT